GCTTGTTACATTCGAAGGGTTGAAATTCTTACGAATAAGGAGCTTGCTAGTGGGTTTCATGGTTTTTCGTACATTCGACAGAATGGCGAGACAAGCATCGTTAGTCCAGTTGTGTCTAAATCCGCGATTTTCGATCTGTAAGTGCTAGAACTCCTTGAATAAAACTCCTTACAGAATATGTTTCACCTGAAATAATTGTTAATTATTGTCGAGTAAAAATTAAGTATGTGCGACTCACGTAGTAAATATCACGACCTTCAACCGGAGAATCGACGAGAAAATTAAATGGTATGAACTCCACACGGTTCTCCCGAAGAGCCTCTGGGTATGCTTGACTCCAGAACTGTAGAATCAGGGTTTTTAGTCTCAATATTATCACCAAATTTAGAGAAAACCTACCTGTTCACCATCTTTGGCGGCCCCTTCAGTGTCCTGAATAACAGCTTTGAACCGAGGAAATTGTCGAATAATTTCAAGCATAGCATGCCCATTTCCACCTCCAACGTCCACGATAGTCGTATCAGGCGAAAGAGTCGACCAGGGGTACACTGAAAGTTTTATTCATAAATAGTAAGTCAACAAATCCCTTGTTCAACAGGAATCCAACCTTTTTGCAGAGTCGGTCCACTCGTCACCTCACTCCATCCTACCATGGCTTGATCAAATCGCTATAAACGTGTAGGTAGAAAGCACGAAAAGTTAAGAGCTAGATCGAACCTCTCCCTTTGTCTTGTCCGCCGCCTGGATGCAAAAATCAGGTTTGCAATTAGTCTCACGATCAAAGCCCGTATCATCCGAACCACCGACACTTACACACATTTCATAAATCGAAGCCCCATTGATTCGCTTGAACGCTGTATCTTCCAGTTTGTATGAAAAGGCCGTAGTCGGATCAGCGAGTGCATCTCCGAGAAAGGCGCCTGCTTTCATGGAATCGTCGGTACTAGGAAGTTGGCGCTTTAAGCTAAGGTCGTACTTGATTGAACGGAAAATGAAGAAACTCACAAGACTTCTACAATCGCACGAACGGGTTCACTCGATACGAGCTTCAACGAAAGCTGATTGTTTGCGAAAACGTTTGGTTTGACTGTAAATCGAACAGAGTAGGTTCCAGTGAGTATAAATTTAGCAATTCATCATATATTTACTCACCCTCAATAAAGATATGATTAGTAGCCAGAGTCCTAAGGACACGAGCTAGCTTGCCCGGGTCACGGTTGCTCTTCTCTGCGAGTTGGTCGACATGTACACCATTGGGTTGATCGAGCAGCAAGTCGGGTATTTTGGCGTCCACTGCAATCTTGAGGCATGCTGATTCCAGGTACTAGAAGAATCAGCGCTCAAGTGCGGTGCAAATATCCGACAACTCGGACCACTCACAGAAAGTGCTTTCTAAAGATCCGATCCAAGTACAATTAGTCCAAAGTATCGTATATTAGGTATTCGTCATAATGTACGAACATTCACGACAACATCACCAGGTCTAGTCACTGCAGCAGATAGTTGTGCACAAGCTGCTCCAATAGTCTTGACGGCATTTCCGAGTGCCTCGCTGCTCGACAGATACGGATGCTGAGATACTCCGGATTTGTCGTGCGACGAGCTGTTCAAATTGGGAATCGTAACGCCGGCGTTGTCGTATTCACTGATAAGGGTCGAGACGGCTTGAGAGATGAGTGTGGCGAGTTGGGTGAGCTCTGTTGCTCCGGGATTTTCTGTGGGTAGGTTTAGAGTGAGCTTTTTGGCCAGAGACTCGAGCAACGAGATGATAGGTCACCTTGAGCTGTAGTGGTCATTGTTAATTTTCACTGTGAAAGGAGGAAGCGCTAATGATAAGCTTAGTAGGACATCGAGGCAACTTAAGACTTATAAGAGAAAATGAAATATATTGTGAGGAGCTTGTAGGAAAGCGCGTAAGGAGCATTAGCCATGATTAGGGCGTTCTGTGGATGGATGAGTAAGTATGGTGCATGGTTTGAATTCTAAAAAAAAAGTCGAGAATCAGTCCTCTGCAGATTGCCTGCGGCAGCATGTTTTTCTGTATTCATTCCGTTTTGAAAATTTACACACATGATGAAAAGTATTCAAAAAACTGGACTTCTTACTCTCGAACTCTTACGCGCCTCGATTGCCACCCCGGGTTTCCAGACCAGATAACCACGGCCCAATAGCAGCCCACCATTTCTCCGTCTCATCAATCATCGGTAAATGTCCCGCTCCTTCTATAATCTCCAACCTAACCTCCTTTGCTCCCCTCTCTGCTCGTTTAGTATTCCAATTGGTTTGGAGGTTCGTCATGCCTTGAGCAACTTTACCCGCTCCATCAAGCGAACCAGCAACAAGCAACGCAGTGACATCAGACTCCAACAACCCCTTCCCATCACCCATATCCTTCCCCGCCAACAGATCATAATCCGAAAGAGCCAGCGCCCCAACACAAAACCCCTCCCTGGGTGTACTAACAATCATCTCATCCACCACCTCTGTCCTCGTCTTCCTCATTTCCAACTCTGCCGCCACCCCATCTGTCTCTGTCTCGGGCGAACACCTAGATCCTTTCCCAAACCACCTTGGGCTCGTCACACCCGCGAGTTTCTTCATACCTTCCTTCTCATTATCAACACTTTTAGCAAGCTGCATACGTTCAGCCCAAGCTTCCTTATTCCCAGGAGGCGTACGAGGACCCGTATCGCACGAAACGATCCCGTCGACTTTGTCGGGGTACATTGCGCCAAAAGCGAGTGCAGCGGCTCCGCCTTGGGAAACTCCAATTACTGCGTGTGCGCGTTCGATATCGAGGGTGGAGAGAAGGAGCGAGATATCTGAGGCTAGGAGGGGAATAGTACAAGGAAGAGGAGAATCGACGCTTGCAGAGGATGGGTAGGAGGATTTGCCGTGTCCTCGTTGGTCGTGTAATAGGACGTTGTATGTGTTGTATTTCCCTAGGAACTTGGGTACACTGACGAATGCTGGACCGTCAGGTTGGGGGCCGAGCATATAGGGTAGGGCCCAGTTCCACATGGAGGTGTTGGTCAAAAGAGAATTGGATAAAACGAGCCAGGGGGCGGAAGGGTGAGTTATGTGGGTTTCTGCATGGATAAAGTGACCGTTGGAATCTGGAATAGGAATTTTATGGGTTTGAATAGTAGCTGGCCAAGGAACGGTATTATCACGCATAGCGGCTACATCGAGCGAGACCAGGAATCGGGAAACCATATTATAGGAAGCGGTTATAGCAGAACACTCGACGAGAAGGTCTTCAGCTTTCGATTTATCTCCGTTAGCCAAGGTGGTTAGAGCAGACACTAGCGCGGCAGTCGTAGACGGTTCTACGCGGATTTGAGCAGTGGATTGGTCTGCGAAAGCTAGGGCAGCGGATTGGAGAGCATTGAGAGTGGAATCGGTTGAAGGAGGAAGAGAAGATGTGTCTCTGGCTAGATAGAGCTGGGAGGTATTGAGACCACAATCTCGTCCTACATGTTCGTGATGGATCCATTCGAATGCAGCATGGTTGCGTGCTGCGACACGAAGGATCTGACATTCAAAGTGTTGAAATTTGGATGTAGATACGTTAGCATAGGCTTACCATCAATTCTCTAACATCGCCTGGAATCTGGCCCTTTGTTCTTACTGCACCAAGGAGCGTATTCCAGCCCTCAGCTACGGGAGGAACATGCAATAAAGTTCCATCGAGAGGAGTTAGACCTCTAGCACCGCGTCTTTCGCGGATCTTGTCTGCAATCGTAGATACACCTTGGGCGGGATATCTTCCTGGCACAAGTCTGGACGTAGGCATTGTGGTGAAAGTCTGTGGAAGAAAGTGAGAAGGGCGTCCGACGGGAACGCTTATGACGTCGGATTCGCGTTTTTCCGATCACCCTTCTAAATTTCCGCGTCAGCTCGCCTCTCTTCCTCAATGGCCTCCTCACTCGCAATAACGCTGCGTCCTTTTGCAGATGGTCTCTCCTTCATTCAAACCCACAAAGTCCACTCAACTCTCTTTCCATATCCATGGGCAAACACATTACACGCTGCACGAATCTCACTCGCCTTTCACTCACTCTCCTCCAAACAACCCACTAAACTAGGATGGAAAACCCATCTCGCAGGCTTCCTCGTCATGTCCTGGGGCGGAATGCTCTTCTCTCATCTCCTTCTATCCCTACCTCCTCCAGCCATTCTCTCAGTCCAACCCTACATCAACTACCTCGCCGTCCATCTTCTCCTCACAGCCGTCTTCCACGCGTTCCCAGGTCTCCTAGAGCCTGAGATGATGCGAACCTACGATCTCGTCCTCTTTCCCCTCGATGCACTTCTCCGAGTCAACTCGATCACTTCCACGGTATCGACACTTTCTCCTGAGGCTAGTCCGAACTACGCACGGATCCATCCATCCCTTCCTTCCTCGCCCTTTTTCCATCTCCTGCTCGGTGCAGTCGCGTCTGCTGGAGGCGGTGTAACAGCCGTCACGTTCTCAACGTTTTCTCCAAACTGGTCGTTTTCTACCCCGGTCTTTCTTCGACCTGGTGTAGGTTTGCTGGGGACGATGGATATATGGGGAGGCGCGTTGGTCGCGGGTGTTTTTGGCGTGGCTAGTGGTCATTCTGCTTTCAAAGGGGTGGTTCCTGCGTGGATCGAGGGGCTAATGCAGGTAAATGTACACGTGGATGGGGTGGAAGGAGAGGCGAAAAAGCTGGTTTTGTCGCAAAAGGGAGCAAAGGCGCTGGGTGCGTTGGTTTTGACGACCTTGTTTGGATATAGAGCTATAATGGGATGGGTTAATGCGCAAAAGGTAGATGCGCGCAAGCCGGGCCAAAAGAAAAAACAGTAAAATTGGAATGCTCATCTGTAGTGATGTTGTACCTTGCTGTTTGTTTGGATATACATATAGAAAACCAGGTCCTTTACCCTGCTCTATGTACAATCTCGCCACTATGTTATGCAAACAAAAGGCACCCATAAGTTTAATTTAAAAAAACATCTGGCTTCCTTTATGTCACCTCCCTGGCTGGGAGTCGAACCCAGCTTTCGCGCGCATGGAATTCCTTGCTCGGATGACAGGCGCGTGTACTAACCGATATACTACCAGGGAGTTGCAAGCATTGACTTTTGAACAGGTTATAGTTTGCTGTGATCTGAAAACAAAGTACTGGTCTTTAAAAAGGTTACAATAGTATTGTTCTCCTGTGGCAACAGTATCAAAGTACCACTTATTCTGTACCAAATGATGCATGTGAAAGTTGATATACTTGTCCACTATTCCAAGATTACTTACTCCAGGTATACCGCTGAGAATGACAATATTACCCCTGTCACCATATTGTTTCATTCAACTGTTCGCTAACTTACAGAGTGATATGTGACCAAATACAAATTCTTTTTAGCTAATATCAGGAAGAAAGTTGAGATTCTTGGCCTATCCAAAGGAATAGGAAGTAGATTAAAACATAATAGTCTAAAGTCACCAACAGACTTTCGGAATTTACCCTAAATACTAAATTTACTTGGATCCAATGTATGAGGCCGGATTTATGAGGACATCTTTACTTACCTCCATTGCTTGGCATGCCTGGCCCGATACCTCATATCTTTAAGATTATGGCTTCCCTTTGTGGTGCCATGTTTGGCCTAAGTAAAAATTATATGTTTAATTGTTTTGTTCATCTTCAAAATTGTTGGCACTCTGAATGAGAGATGAAATCGACATCCTTCGGCATGGCAACAAATGTTTGTCCTTTATTAGGTGTCCCCGGAGCGACAGCGAAAGGCAAGTCTTGTCTCCATTAAGTATATCACCATCTTATCTGATGGAGTGCACAACCATTTCCTGTACCAGTTCTTGGTATCAATGCGGCATGATGGCTTTACTGTTGCCTCATCGCAAAACAATGGATTATCTATCAAATTCTGAATGGCTTAGACCAGACTTGCGGCCGTCACTGAACAGTTAAATAATACAGTATTGTACTGCCATTGCGACCACGCTACTGGCCATCTAACGACAAGCAACTTTCATCAAAAAAAAACTTGATGCAGCAGATGAAATACTAACTGTAAGACCCACCCTATTGAATTTCCATGGAAACTTTGATTCTGGACATCTGCATGCTGTACAGCGCAACAGGTATGAAAAACTATTCCTGCATTTTTACAGCCTGAGAATGATCAGAAAATTACATATATCTACCACTGAATCACTTCGTGAGCCTTAGCCCTCAGCCATTTCCCTCTCTTGATAAGAATCACTACTTAAAATATGGCTATTGGACTACCTGATCAAGAACTGAATAACTATGTGTATTTCATTGAAGCTAATGCATTTGGGGGGCTGTTTTATGGTATGTTTTATGCTTTTATTATACACAAAACAAACAAGGTTCTAATCATAATCTCGGACAACAGGCTGCCTCATTATACTGGAAGTAGTGTTCATGTACATTACTTTTTTCAAGTGAGTTGCTGCATTCAGGGTGATTAAAATTGGTCTACAATGTTTTATCATTTAAAAAAAATGCAGAGGCAATAAACCTTCCCAATCACGATTGATACTGGTTGCTGTATCCTTAATGATGTTCATGTTATCTTCGATTTTCTTTGCCCTGAATCTGTCTCTAAACATAACTATTGTCCAATTGCTTTCAACTCAGTCAACTACAGAAGGAAACTACAGTATAGATGATTTGTTGAAATTCTATAAATTTAAGTGCCTCTATACAGCCATAAGTATTGTTCATCCTTTGAATGTAAGTGAGCAGAATTTCCAATATTCTCATGCATATAGCCCTACTGTAAAGTTTCTTTTCAGCGATCTAGTGGTTATTTGGAGAGCATGGGTACTTGTAGATAAAAAATGTCGCATACTACTGGGTATTCTAGCTCTTGGATTAACATGTAAGTGAAATCCAAACATTTACACAAATATTGAATTACATCTATCAGGTGCTGTGATTCTTATGATTATAAACATCCAAGACTTGCACGAAGAGTTTAAAAATCCAATCATTTATTCTTGTACCGTTTATCTGCCCTTCCTCTTATCAAACATCACTGCTACATTGATGATTGGATGTAAACTTTGGTAAGAAGTTATAGAAAATAACTGCATTGTATGAAATTATATTCAACCTATTCATTTGTTTTAGGCACCATCGCAAGTATATCAGGCTTTACATTGGGAATCAAATTCCTAAATCAGAACTAGATGTAAAGTCTATAACTCAAGCAGAGAAAATACTGCTGTTGTTCATTGAGTCTGGATTGCTATATCTTATTACATGGGTGGGTCAGTTTTCTTCCTATCTGATCCCATTGGCTAAACAAAATTGGTTCATAGATGTTTACAGTGATGATATATAAGGGTGTATTTAGCCCAGGGAATGGTGGAGGCACAGCAGCTGCATTTATGGACATAATCCTACCTCATCTTGCTGTGAGTTCATTGACAATTGTATGTCACTTAACATTCTAAATCAATACCTCTACTTTTCATAGGCTATATATCCACTGCTTGTCTTTCTATTGGTTATTTGCCAGAAATCTGAGATAAGTACATTGACACAGCCTGATTTAGAGGCTGTGGCAGTGGCCTCCCATAATAATGAAGAGTGCAGTAAGATTGATGATATATACTTGAACTCTCATGTAACAAAATCTCATTAATTATATTATAAAAATGCAGGCCATTGCTGCTGTTATTGGCAAATGGCATGTCATGTAACTATTTTCTAGAGCTCCTTAACCAAAGAAGTTAATCGTGACTACGTGTACTTAATGCAACTTTCTGCTCTATCAGTACCACAGTGATGCAGGACCCCGACACGAGGTTTTCATTTCCTTAAGTTTGAGCCAGTTCACTTGTTATCTATTCACCATCAGAACAAGAAGTAGAAGGATTGTGGAAATGTGACATGAAATGTCAATGCGTCATGAATGCAGAAAGTGGAGTCAATGAACCAGCCATTTAGCTTTAAATCCCTGGGACATCTATGATTACAGAGGCATTGAAGGATTTGATATGGGGTCCTCAGATTTGAGATGTGAATTGTATCTCATCGATTTGGAGTCCATTCACTTGTGGATCAAACCTATTTCAATTCAGAACTCTTCATATATGGCAGAATCGTCCATTGCAGGGACAACTACTTCCTTGTCCTAGGATCCCCTCACTACCTCTTCTCATCACTCATTATGGACACCCTCATCAATACTCTGTTTAAATTTGCTGAGGATCCACATGCTGAGCTTGTGATATCCACTATCATTCATACAGTAGTCAATTTGATCGCAAAAGACAAAAAAAGTTTTGAAGAATTCTTGGAGAAACTTGAGGATGAAGCTCAGCCAGAAAAGTAAGGTGTCTCTCATTTGCCCTCTTTTTATCATAACTGCTCAATATCTCACCTTGACAGCAAAGAGATTGATAAGCTGTGGAATGACATTGATAATCAGGATGTGGTCACTGCTTTTATGGAAAACAAACTCTGTGTTGAGGCAGCCCAAGATAAAGAGAATGCCCGTGCTGCTTATAAGAGGTATGCTGTGGTGAGTGACAAAATAACTAACAACTGCTTTGCCTCAATCATGTGCACTCCATTTCTAGCAAGACTACTTCTATCTCCTGGACTCAGTCAGATTCAAAGCACTTCGCTTTGCCACTCTGCCTTATGATGATTTCGACCTTGATAAACTAGATCAAGAAATCAAATCAGTCACAAATTCTACTGGCTATGCCAGGGATTGGTTCATCACTTGTGTGGAGCAACTTGGGGTCTCTGAGGAGGACTTCAGGGTTGAGAGGTCTATTGCAGAGCTTGCATATTCACAATACCTTCAGAACAATGCCCAAGGTGATGATTGGTATAATCTCCATGTTGTTCTAATTGGCTGTTACTGGGTGAGTAATACTCAAGAAATCATTCCCAACAATCAAACTCTTACTGATGGATTGCTGGACAGGGATGGTGCAAGCTTGCATTGGACCTTTACCAACAACCCACAACCAAAAAAGACACAGCCTTTTATAAAACTTGGATCTTGCCAAATGTGGATACCACTGACCCTAATAGACCAGATTTTACCAAGTCTGCCAAAGTGCTATCCAGTGAGTTTATGTACCTGGTATGCCCAATGTCATGGTTTGTCTCAATATCTCATGCTTTACAGAATTTCTCGATCAAAACGCTGCAATCATGACCTCTGAACTCTCAAGAGACAAGGCCAAACACCTGTTCCGTACCACTCTCCGCCTTGAGGTGTCACTTTTTGAATCTGCTTATATGGAATCAGTTTCAAAGCCTAGCTATTCTACTTTGCTTGGAAGACCAGCTCCCAACAATGGTCACCAGCAGCAGAAAGGACAGTTTCTTATTAATGTTATGCGCTCCATGACATATGATGAACTGAAAAAGAAAGTCCTTTTCTCCAAATTCCCCAGCAAATACTCATTCCATTTTTACAGGAAATTTGTCTCTGACCATGATAATGTTCGAGGTTCTTGGGTCCAATCAAAAAACCAGCGGAGCTATATTCTTGGTATTGATTTTACTGATCCAGACCAGCGTCACAGGTATGGTGTTGAATTCGAGATCCTCGAGGTCCAGGTTGAGTGGTGTTTGTTTGAGCAACAAGTACAAGTGTTGGAATTCCCAGGTCATTCAGGGAAAAATGGCTTTGTTGTTGGACTTGCTATTGAGGACTGCTGGGCAGATGGTACAAACGGATGGTGGTGTATTGGCAGGGAGCTTAGGCTTGGCACAAAGAATGTAAAGGTTGAAATCAAAACTGAAGGAAGCCGAGGCATGCATGTATGTGTCTGTTAATTATTGGGCTGGATAAAGAGCTGACTATTTGCATTAATGAAAAAGTGGAGAATGACTGTATGGTATGTTCCAAGTGTTGAGTAATTGAGGAGAGGGTGACAGATGGTCATTGCGTTGTATTTGGAATAAAATTCTAGAGACTTTGGGTGAGATGTAACAAAACTATGCTATGTAATCCAAAAAGAGAAACCAAGACCTTTACCTTGCTCCATTTTTCGATCCTGCCACTATCAATACGATGTTTTGCACATTTAAAATGTATCAAAAACATCAG